ACTGGTATTTCAGACAATGGAATTTTTACATGGAACGTTGGCACTGGTTTACGAGAATCATACACAGGCATAAAATTCACCGTATACGACAAATTTAATGCTAGCAGTGTTTTCAGTTTTTCAATCAACTACTGTGGATGTAGTGAAGTTTCGTTTTGTTCATTTAATGGTGCTACTAACTATCCTTCAGGTAATCATGCTCAATTGTTTGCTCCTTTACTTTGACTTTCATTTTCACTTCCCAAAACACTAAAATAAATGAATAAAAAAATGAATAAAAATTAAAAAATGAGAGAATTCGAAATACTACCATTTACTTGAAGTTCGAAATTAAAAGACATAAATTAAACTATTTAACTAGTTCCTAAACAAATTATCCAGATATTGCATACACTAGCTACACGAAGTAAACTATTAGTTGACGTTTTATTCAGATACTGTAGTAAAAGCCTCATGTGTTTGTCCAGCCTACACTAGTGGAGAGTATTGCGAAGATATCATAGATCTTTGTCCGAGCTATAACTGCTACAATGATGTTTGTAATGTTATGGTTTACAAGTCAAAACCATCGTGGCCATGCGGTCCTTGTCCCAAAGGAAAGGAACATTTGATGTCTGGATATAATCAGACATGTACAGGTATTTTCAGAATCACATATTGGAAAAAAAAACATGTGCCTTGTTTCAAAACTGCTTTATATATGCCCATATCAAACAGGGCGAAAGGAATAACACAAATTAGGATAGGATATAATCTCGTTTGTTTAAAACTATTTTTGATATTGATATTGAAGTTGTTGCTTAATATATAAATGAAACAGATAAGGTATACTTATCACCTGATAACCTGTCAAAACTTTACAAATATATTGCCCACTAACAGGAACAACATGTCTATTGTTTTTAATGAAGTCTAAAGTATTTCAATTAAAATACATATATTTATATGTGTCTCGTTTGTTTCTTAACCCTTTCACTGCCATAGGGACTATTATTTTCTGCGTATTTGCCATATGGACGGCTTTTGCCGTTTCTATAATAATGATAATAATTATAATAAATATTTGTTTGTTTTTGGGTTTTACGTCACATCGACACAGTATAGGTCATATCGCAACGTTCCAGCTTTACTAGTGGAGGAAGACATCAGGTGCCCTTCCGTGCATTATTTCCGGCACAAACGGGCACCTGAGTAGAACCACCGACGTCCCGTAAGCTAGCTGGATAGCTTCCTCACATGAAAGAATCCAAAGTTATAATACTAATTATTATAATAATAATAATAATATTAAATGTATAGATAATTATACCATAGACAATAATTATTATTATACTAGTAGATTTGGAAACATATATAATTATCATAATACTAATAACAAATAATAATAATTATACAATAATTAATAATATAATAATTTCTTAGAAAATCCTCTGGTCAATAGGTGCACGTGATCAATAAATAATTAACCCTCTGGCCGCGAAAGGTTAATACTGTCTTAAATGATGTTGTGTTCCAATATCCCTGAAAATAAATGAACTCAAAGTTATTTAAACTACAGCTACATATCCGGCTTATCTTATCTGTCACATTACCCGCTTATTACGAATTTTACACTAATGTTTACAGATATTGATGAATGCAGTTATTATCATTCTGGAGCTGACAAGTGTGAGCAGAATTGTACAAATACCGATGGATCCTTTTTATGTAGCTGTTTCAATGGATATGAATTAAATAGAAATGGCCATTCATGTGATGGTAAAAAAAGCGATAGAATTATTGATAACCAGATATGTTATCAATGTATATTGTAACTTTCACTTTACATCATATCGATCATTATCAGATTTTTGTATACATATTCTGATTAAATCAATTCCTTCATGATAAATGAAAAAAGTCTGCCCGATAGCTTCAAGTAAGTTAAGGAAAACAGCTTGAAATTGATTAATTGTTGTGTTTATTAAATAACGCGATAATTTTAAATCCCTTTGGTTTTTTGTCAATTTTTGCCAATCACTACTTCAAAACTAGTATATAATGTAAATTTAGATAATCGCTATGACTTGTATAATGTAAATTTAGATAATCGCTATGACTTGTGTTATTATGCAAAAATGCAAGGGTAATTATAAGCTGTCAATACAGTAATTTCAATATATTTTAGATATTGATGAATGCAGTAGGGGAATTCGAGTGTGTGGAAGTACAGAAATCTGTGTGAATACTTTGGGAAATTCGTCATGCTTATGCGCTCCGGGATTCCAAAGACTTAGTGATAAAACTGGGACCTGTGTAAAAATAGGTACATTTTTTTATTATTTCTAAGACATCAAAACCATTCATTGTTGTTTTAGATCAGTCATAAGAAAACAAACAGACCCCCACCAAACAAAAGTAGAAAGAATTGACATGAAACAGTACGAATGATTTATAGTTTATATTGTGTCCACTTTCGTTTGTTTTATAGTAGTAGGTAACCAAATCATGCATTTTATGATTACTGCTGAATGGATATTATCTCAAAATGTCAATATGTATTGGGGAAACTGTGATGAAAAGTCAAGACGGACATGTTTTCAATCTTTGCTTCTGTATATTTTGTTTTTAAATATACATAGATGTTATTATCATGTATATGCATTGATGAGGTGTAAATAAAGATGCTACTACATTTAATGAAATTGTTGAATATATATATATAGATAACGATGCTCTGCATTCTCATTCGTCTAAACGAACTCACGATTTAAAGTTACGAATTCTTATTTCATTACGTGAAGCTTGTATCTTGAATTCTTCACGAAGTGTAAACCTTAAATCATTCAGAAAATTGAAATTATAAAAACATTAATGTGTGGGTTTGAATTAATAGATTCTATATTGCAATCATGAATGATTTAAGTTGAAATAATAAAATCGTGACTTTGAAATTATTGAAATATACAATCGGTATGTCGTAGTTACTGTATCAAATGTCGTTACAGGATCTGTTGAGGACGCTGTTCAAGTTAAATGTTCCGATTCACAATGGGATATTGTAGTCGATATGAACATACTACAAGCGCAATATCCAGCCATTAAACCCGCTGACATTTTCCTAGGAGAATCTAAATGTCTTGGAAAGCTGGAAGGGTCTCTTCTGAAGTTCCAGTATAACCTAAGTAGCTGTAAAACTGCTGATATGGTAAAATATTCATTTCATGGTGTACTTTATCTTGAATAACATGTAAACAATGCATTTGTTTTATTTTACAACTGAACACACATTTACTTAATACATTTATTATTTTACATTATTCAAACATGCAATGCTTTATCTTGCGGAAGAAATTAACAACATTTAGAAATAATCGTATTCTTATTGTCTCTTTTGAAAAGAGATTTAGAAAAGGTATACTATGTTTTTTGGCAAACATTGATTAGAGTCATAACACATAAAAAAATGAAAAATTTTGCGGGCAATAAAAAATGTTCGGCCTTTTATTTTGTGCTTTTGGGTGCGCCCCTTTAAATCTAAAGAAAAAAAAATTTAATCTTAAATTAATATTTTCGGAGCTTAAAATAAAAAATTTTTTTAAAAAATAGATAAAAAATTTTTTAATTTTTAAACAGATAATTAGGGCTTATTTTTTTTTAACCCAAGCCCAATGTAAAAATGTTTATAGGAATAAAGTTTCATCATTGTAAAATTGAACTAAAGTTTTGATTTATATTTAATTGTTACTTAATTGTTATTTTCCCACAGAGAAACAAACATTGTCAGAAAATATTTTCCAACTAGTTTTTGTCAAAGTTCCTCTAGTTTTGAACATTACTATATTTTGCGAGGCAGATATGTATATAAATTGTAACATTCCGTATATAAGCAGTTTCGATGTGTGCTCAGTATTTTTTTTTCTATTTTTAGACTTCAAGTATAACGCATATTTACAGCAACAAATTACTTTACGTAATGTTTGATCCTGTGATACCATTCCTCATTAGACGTCACATTTGGACGTTCATTGTGGAATGTGACGTTATCAGAGGTGGAACAGGGACGTCACATTTACATCACGGCATCGAGACACACCATTCAACATATGTGAAGCATTACAATGTCACCGTACAGCTTTATAGTGACAGGGGTTTTCATAATCCCATTATTCCAGAGGCCAGTGACATACATGTTGGTGATGACGTGTATGTGAAGGTTTCTACAAATATTCCCGATTGGAATACAAAGATGCGACTTCATACTTGCTTTCAAAAAACCAAAAAAGCCAATGAAAAACAAATAAAGATATCAAAATTAATAAGCAATGGGTAAATGCTAAAATTTAAATGCCCTTTTTTTTTTAAAAGTTTTTAAACGAAAGCCTCTAGATTAAAAAAAATCCTTGCATTTTACCCAAAAAAAATAAAAATTTTGTTATTTTAAACAAATATATATAAAATTTCAAAAATTTTTTTGTAAATATAACTTTCCCCCAGTTTTAAAAGAGAAACATAGTAGAAAAATTTCCCTTTTAAAAAACCCCCACGTCTTTTTTGTAATCACAGAAAGGGTGTATAAGGGCATTAAACTACGGGCTAGTTTAAAAATTTTTTGAGAAAAAACCCTACGTAATTTGTAATCAAAGAAGGTTACTAAGAGTTTTTAAAATAGCTATTTTTAATTTTTAAAGAAAGAACCCAATTAAACATTACCTGTAGTAGGTGATAAAGATTCCAATTTACAGTGGTTGTTTTCATTAGGCATGCATTTCCTAGATTTTAAGTCATTTCTGCAATTTAATTTTATCATTCCAAGATATATATCATTGAAAACATCTATGATTTTCGAGATGCAGAATATCTAACATCAACGTGCAACTTTGAAATATTTCAAATGTAAACTCTGAGTTGTTGAGAATTGAGTACCGCTCAATCCGATTCTAGTGGGCGTGAGGGATGTTACACATTTTTATTATCCCTCATGTACAGACTCAATCAAACCGAGTCTGCAATTCTCTTGTAATTTTGTTGTGATTAATGCTTCCGAGGGATCACTTTGTTTCCAGATTCTGATAACATTTACTATTCTTATAACCAATTTCCAACCATTTACTAACAGAGTAAAAAACATATGTTGCATACATGAACTGGTCATTCTGTTTCATGAATAATAGGTGTCTTCACATAATTTGTACACCTGTCATCATTTTCTACTTATTTATCTATTTTTTGGAAGTTTCTAAAGCTATTCTTTGTTAAGAATGATATGTGACTTTACATAATATGTACACCTGTCATCATTTTCTATTCATTTGTCTATTTTTTCCCAAATTTTTACGAGAAATAACAAAAAAGATTAAAGGCGTTCTAAAGCAAGATTTTTGGGATGCATATTTTTTAAATTTTTTTTATTTAAAAAGTTACAGTTTTGAGGTCCCACAGGGAGTAAAAAAAAATTATTTCTCATCAAAAGCAATGAAAACCCAAAATTTTTCTTCAAAGGGCTTTGAGTATCTAAAAAAATGACAAGGCTTAGGGCCCTTTTTTGTTTAACCCCAAAAATTTGTGACGCAAAGGGGTTTCCGCCCGAATTTTTCACAAAACATGTTTTGTGGTCCTTTTTATTTCCCGGGTAAAAAATGATAAAAATAATTATCGGAAAAAATTGACCTGTTTAATTTTTGGGTAAAATTTAACCCCGTAATTTTCGGATAAATTGACCTGTAATTTCGGGTAAATTTTACTTGTAATTATCGGGGTAAAAAAGAAATTTTTTTGTAAATTTTATAAAATTTTGGTTAAAGGGTTTTGGGTTAACAGTACTTGAGATATTTATTTCTAGATAAATGCTGTAGGTCTATATCAATAACTTGTCTAAAATTACATCTCATTCGGTCATTCCGTTTTTCCAGAAAACAATAATTTTAGTTGTAAAATATTACCAATACATGGCAGGAGTCGCATCGAAATTCACTCAAACCGGTCTAAGAATGACAAAAGGAGTAACACAATTTTCAATTACATTCTGTTGTATATTACTTGATAACATTTTGCACATCTTTCTGTTTTAAGTATCGTTTCCAAGGTGATCTATGTAAGCAATTCAGATTTTATGTTTTAAGGCCTTTGGGTCCCAGTGGAGTTCCTTTAAACATTTGATCATGATTCATATTAACTAAATACTTTAATCATAATCCACATAGGCTTTCTTGGTTCTACAATCATCTAATTAAATTTTAAATAAAATCCATATATGCTTTGTTTATGCATTAGTGCTCCAACAATTATCTGATTTATATATTAATTATAACCCATATAAGCTTTATTCATGCTTCATGGTCCAGCATTTGTCTATTAAATGTACTAATTATTATTCATGTAAGCTTTGTTTAAGATTACGTGGTCCAACAGTTTTCTGATAATTATATAAATTAGAATCCATATAAAGTATTTTAATGCTTTCATGGTCAAATTATTATCCAATTAATTTATTAATTATAAACCATATAAGCTCTGTTTATGTTTTATCAAAACAATTATCTGATAAATATATTAATTATAATCCATATAAGTTGTGTTTATGCTTTCGTGGTCCAACAGTTATTTGATTACTATTAAAGGTAAAGGTCTTGTTTATTATAACGCCACCCCTACTGGAAGGGCCAGCTATTTCTGTGTTATGAGACACATTTTGCTTGAATACCATGTACCTTCTAACATCTACCACTCTGCCAAGCGCCAGACGGATAGAAATCGGTAACCATTCATTTTAACTACCTCGCGGCTCAAGAAGCGGCCGTTTCTGAACGAGTCCCACGAGAAACATTCATCCTTCAATTACCGCTCCCCGTGGTGCCCAAACCTTCGACCTCCCTATCCGAAGGCGGACGCCTTAACCACTAGGCAAACAGTACAGGTTATTATTGACTATATTAATTTTAATCCATACAAGCTTTTATAATGCTTTCGTGTTCCAATAAATTATCTGATAAATATATCAATTATAATCCATTTACGTTTTGTTTGTGCTTTCGTGGTCCAACAATTATCTGAATTATTATATTAATCATAATCCATATGAGCTTTGTTTATGCTTTCGTGATAAAAAAAAGAAATCAAATAAATATTTTGATCATAATCCATATTAACTTCATTGCGGCTTTTCGTGATCAAACAGTTTGTTATAAATATTTTATTCATAATTTATATAAGTTTTGTTGAGGCATCCATCATCGCGGCGAGAAAAAGTGAGTAGAATATCTTAAGATCAAAGGTTTAAGATAGTCGGAGAGCTTAGACTTAGAAATGGTAAAATGTAGTCATCGAACTAACTCAATTCGTATAGACTTATGAAACTAGATATCGGGAAAAATCGTACTTCCTTTTTACTTCAAAACATCGACAAAAAACAATGTTATATACACATAAAGTCTACAGTAGTGCCATCAGTATATTTAACGGTACACTACATATACGATTATCTCTCTTCCATTGTAATATGTAATTTGTTTATTTCTTTTATTTTCCGGATCCTTAAAACAAATTCGTGTTTTCGCATTTTCGCATTTTGAGGCGAAGACGCGAAAATATTTGGATGGCGTTAATCAGCCACCATACATAATCCATTCAAGGCGAGTTTCTCAAGCATGTCGAAAGGATGTCCGGAAATGTGTTAATTTAAAACGCTGATATTTCGTGTGTTGATAAAAATACTGTTTAGATTCTATATGGTTTTGAAAAAAAAACTGTTTCTATGTAACTTTTCACGGAAATGGGTTGTACAATGATTGCATAAAAACAATAAAATGTCGGCTGTAGAAATCGAAAGGCATTTTGTCACGTGACTTTTGCCCATGCTACCGAAAACTACCCATCACAATATCACGGCGTTGAGACGCCGTGAAATTAATAAAAACTTTACAAACATATCTCAGATCGTTTTGATTGTCAGAATAAACAATGGTTACATAAGAAAAAACAAAATAATAATACGTAAAGTTAAACAGATAATCAAAGGCATGATATTTATGTTTTGTAGTATGCTTTTATATGTTTTTATTTATCAAAATAGAATCGTTTTTACGTTGAATCTGAAAAATTAGAAGATATTGATTGCAATATTTCGATGATAAAGTTAGTTAATTGTACAGATGGATAATCGGCAACTTTTTTTCCGGATGATAAGACAATAATTGTGGTTATGGACGTATTATATTTTATGTGTATAATATAAATATACTTCAGATAAATATAAATATACATCTTTTAAATTACTAAACGTCTGGCAAGTGTTTTAAGAATAACACAACATTGGTAATATTATTGTTGTCAAAGATACGACGGAAAATGATACCATAACTAGGTAAGAAAGTAATTTATCTTTAGTACTCAGAGAGTTATAGTTTAAAATTTGAGATGACAGATCAACACGGGAATTTTTCGTAAATACAATGCTCAAAAACACCCTGCCACACAGGATCACAAGACAGTTTATTTTGTCCACTCGTGTAAGATGCGGGAAATATGACTATATTTTCTACAGTTATATTTTCGTAATAAGCTTTCAGATTTTACAAAAATGATAAGGAAGCTACGTTTGACATTTTTGATAAGCAAGCTCCGTTTGACATTTTTGATAAGCAAGCTCCGTTTGACATTTTTGATAAGCAAGCTTATAAAGAAAATGTTAAATACGTAGTAATATATTGTTTAACTCTAGTTTTATCATAAAACCTTTTTTTATTTCAATATTTTCATTCATTATTTTTAAAAAAATAAGTAGATAAATATTACCTTCTTTAATTCAAGGAATGCCATTTTATAAATGAGAGGTACTGAAGTAATTTCAACAAAGATTTAAAGCAAGCAATTCTCAACAGTTAGTAAGTACAGTATTGAATTGAAATGAAATTGAGAGCACAAAGCTTGTTGTTAACTAATTGCATATGTTAAACTCTTACATGCATTGCATGAAAATGTTGTACAATTATTAACTTTGACTTGTTCAAAACTTATAAAGAAAGGTGAAACCTGTGGACTTGGTTTTATTGTGTTTGTACATAAAGGAAATGATTAAGATGAAAATCTCCAACACCGAATCGGACTGTCAGCGGTATTTTTTTTTATTGAATTCTTTCATTGATAGCTGAATGTGTAATTTTAAAGTGCTTAAGTATTAATAACTTTGCATGTATCTAGAGCTCCCTGGGTCGATCCCTGGTTCCTACCCCACTCAATGTCGTGAATTTCTTTAAATCTTATATTT